CCCGCAACTGTCAACACTCCAGTGTCGGAATTGACATCGACCAATGCGGCAGGACTTCGTGCGAGGATTCATGTGCCAAGTTCAAGAAATCCGACAAGAATGTGAAGTACGGCAAAATACCTGGCAAGGTCCACGGCAGAGAACAGAATAGACATGACGGCAACTATCCTGCTAAGCATGACCCTAAGCCGTACCCTAAGAAGCCTGTCCCGAAGCCATCTGTTCACGGAGGAGTCAAAGGCAACGAAGAGTATGAGGCGTGCATGAGCAAATGCAAATCACACAACTGCCAACACTCCAGCGTTGGCATCGATATTGACCAATGCGGTAGCACGTCTTGTGAGGACTCGTGCAAGGGATTTAAGAAGGGTCATGAGGCTCAGTTTGGTAGGGTCCATGGAAGGGAAGAGCAAAACGCTCCCGTCAACTATCCGCCAGAGAAGAAGCCACAGCCTCATCCGGTGCAGAGGCCAGCTCAATCCCCCGAGAAACACCAACCTTTTCAGTACGCTAGCAATGAGGAGTACGAGTCATGCATGCACGAATGCAAGACCCATAACTGTCAACACTCTAGCGTGGGTATCGACATTGATCAGTGTGGCAGCACATCTTGCGCGGATCAGTGCGTCAAGTACAGAAAGGCCGAGCATTTAAGCCATGACAAGAGGCAGATCGCACCCATTGCAGAACTAGCCGCCGTCCCAGCTACCCCCAATCTTCCCAACGTCCCCAGCGTTCCGAATATGCCTAATGTTCCTGAGCTGCCCACTGTTCCAAACACGCCAGCAGCTCCTCATGCCCCTGCAGCTCCTGCGGCCCCGAACGCTCCGCCTGCACCCCATGCGCCAGCGTCACCAAACGCGCCAGCAGCACCTCACTCCCCGGCAGCACCAGCATCGCCTCATGCCCCGGCAGCTCCTCCCGCTCCGGCGACGCCCCATTCGCCGGGGGCACCAAATGCACCGAACGCGCCACACACACCTCACCTCCATGCTAAGGCGGGCATCCAGGGCGGTAAGCAACCAGTCGCAGAGAAAGCCGGTAATGCAGAATTCGAAGCCTGTATGAGCCAATGCAAGACCCGCAACTGCAAGAGCGCCAACATTGGCCATGGCATCTCTGAATGCGGTGACACCTCATGCGCCGACTCCTGCGCCCAGTACAAGGAAGCGGACCACGCCGAGGTACACAGGGACAGAGTTAAGGTTCCCGGTGGACGACTCATCGCCAACCCAGTCCCAGGCCCAAAGGGTTTGGTCGTGCCTAACATTCAGGAAGTTCCTGTAGGCGAAGCGCACGAGTCTAAGGAATTCCAGGACTGCATGCACAAGTGCAGAACTCACAATTGCCAGGCTGCCGATATTGGCGTTGAAGTCTCGCAGTGCGGTAGCACGACTTGCGAGGACAAGTGCACCAAGTACAAGGAGGGCAAGAATGCCTATGTTGAGGGCACGCCGCGTCCTGCTCCTCCTCCTATTACGTTCCCCCATTAGGAGGTAAGATTTTCGGTCTATTACTTAGTGATTTTATGCTAACTATGTCTCAAGCCTAATACACATAAATGAAACCCTTCCCTCGTGGCTCAACCTTTGGAGAATGAAGTTGAAATATAATGGTTATTACGCTCGTCTTCTTCATGATTTACGAACCAGACGGACATCATCTTACATGTGGCGATTTTTTTTCTTATATAAAAACAACTTGGGGATATTGAAGAATGTATGCTTAGCCGGAATATTTATAGTGTTGTTTTCAAATAGCTCTGCTTAGTCTAATCAAAACTGTCCGATGAACGTCATTCATCCAGTCTTGCATCGTCCTTGCTATTTTTCTATTTTTTTTTCCTATCCTAGTTGTTCATTTTGGTTATAACATACGGGCGCCGTACCCGAAACCCTCTCCATGATATCGCAGTAGCACCCTAAGCCATCCCGACCTTGCTCCTATCCTATCCTAACCCCGCAGCGCCTCCTCCAGCGTCTTCCCCGTAAGCCGTCTAAAAACCTCCCTATACCGCTCACCCGTCGCCCTCACCACATCCTCCGGCACCTCCACGCCCTCCTTCCCCTTGAGCCCATTCTCCGTCAACCAGTTCCGCAAAAACTGCTTATCGAAGCTCTCCTGGTCGCGCCCCGGCTCATACCTATCCTTGGGCCACATGCGCGACGAGTCCGACGTCAGCACCTCGTCCACGAGCACCACCTCGTCCGTCTCCTCGTCAAGCCCAAACTCGAACTTGGTATCCGCGATGATGATCCCCCGCTCCGCGGCGTACTCCTGGCCCGCGACGAAGATCCGCAGCGCCAGCTCCTCGATGCGCCCCGCGTACCGGTCCCCGACGATCCGCGCGGCGCGCGCCCGCGATATGTTCTCGTCGTGCCGGCCCGCCGGCGCCTTCGTGCTCGGCGTGTAGATGGGCCCGCCGGGGATGGCCTCGCACTCCTTGAGCCCGGGGGCCAGCGGGGTCCCGTGCACGGTGCCGTGGGCCGCGTACTCCTTCCACGCGGACCCCGTGATGTACCCGCGCACGATGGCTTCCAGGGGGAACACCTTCAGCTTGCGGACCTGCATGCTGCGGTTGCGGATGAGCTGGGATTCCTGGGGCGACACGGCGGCTGGTACGTCCGTGGTGAGGAAGTGTGTTTTTAGGCCGGGGATTTTCTCTGAGAGGACTTTGAACCAGTGCACTGATTGAAGGGTTAGGAGGGCGCCTTTGTCTGGCACGCCGTTTTTCATGACTACATCGTAGGCGGAGATGCGGTCTGAGGCGACGAATAGTAGGGTCTTGTCGTCGACGCTGTACAGGTCGCGGACCTTGCCCTCGGCGAGCTTGGGGAGGGATGTGAGGTGTACCTCAGTGAGGACTTGGCTGGAGCCCATTTTCGCTCCTTTTCTTTTCCTTTGGGAATTTCCTAGGTGCAGTACTTCCCCAATTGCTTTTATAGAATTGTCTATGCGATGTTGGTGATGAGTCTTGATATGGCGTGGTGATCGACTTAGATAGAGCTCGAATCTTATGACTGATTGGTGGTGGTTGTGTGAGCTTTTTTGGCGCTTCCCCAGATAATGAAGTAGTTCCTGGACGGGAAGGAAAACTTTGCTGGGGCTAAATCGGAGCAAATCGGCGGCCTTTAATCAGTGAATATTCAACTCTGTTAAATATTTCCTATCTACAGTGAGAAACATGTGATTGCTTAATTTTTTGATGGTGAATTGAAATTTTCGAGGTTGAATTTCCCCACACTCTTGCGTGACTAGAGAACATGATGTCATATGTACCAGTACACAGTACACCAAATTAATTCGGGAGAATACATGTATATGTATGTACCGTACTTCGGATTTCTCCGGATGTTTGCTTCGAATTCTTCAGCTCCTCAAAGCAACGGCTTCTTCAGATGTCAGCTCCGGCCTCCAAGGCAAACGAGCTTACTTGATTCGCCGTCACTATGTATGCACCCACGAGTCTACAGGTCTTACACATCCTGGACTGATTGCGAGCACAGCCACTGTTCATCAACAATTCCTTGGCATCCCGACCTGACTTGAAGAACCACGACGAAGAGAACCTCTTAATGTCGTCCACCGCGTCTATGTCAAGATACTGGGAAGACGACTGCCCGGAATCATACAGTACTAACTGGCTGTTCTGAATATCCTAAGGATCACCGTATCTCTCAAGCGTGTCCTCGCGACCATAGGGAGCTCGAGCCACCGCGCCACCCCCTCTTATGTCCGTCCGCCGTGTAACCCTCTCGTCTTGAATGCCAGAAATTGTAGACCAGTGATTATTTGAGATGGAATTCAAAGCCAAGCACATGAAAGACCCCAAATTCGGAGCCATGTGTAGGAGAAGTGTTGGACGACACTAGACCCGCGACTATCGAGGTGAACCGGACCAGTTTTGACCGTCCCGCGAAGGGGAAGGGGAAGGGGAAGCTAAGCGGACATATTTTGGGCATCTGCTCTCATCGTGATCCGGATACTGAATGAATAATGTAGTGTTAGACTGATATACCAAGCTTTATAGGCGCCGTATCGGGCAGTCGAGATGCCTCGTCGAGGCCATCTTAGCCTTCAATCTGATTTTCTTCGTTCTTCCTACAATATGCGATCGCTGGAGTCCTTGAGCTTCTGTCGTCGGAACTATATCACTGCGGACCGTGTATGCACCTACGTCGATACAGTCATTAGAGATGGCAATGAAAATCCGTGTTCCTAGATGGAGAAGACGATTTTCAATATATTCAATTGCAACAGTCTATCTCAAATCAGCTCGGATTCATTATATTACTATCTAACAATCTACCTGAAAGCCAATGACTTACCAAGCATCTTTGCCCGCAGCAACACCTAACGGCAAGGACCTCTGTATCAAGCTATAAGTAGGTAGGTAGCCTAATCTACTATAACCCCTATATGGCCTCTAAAATGTGAAGAAATTCTAATCATGCATAAATATAATAAGTAGATAAAAGCACGAGGAAAACACGATAGAAAACGTAGAAGCAACTCAGTGGGTTGAAATGTCAAGGTGAATTCGAAAGAGCGAAATCCAAGATTCAACCAGTACTTGAACAAACAAAACCCAACGACCAAGACCAAAAGGAAACCAACCCAAGAAACCAGACGCCCAACTCCAGAAATCGATCAAAACCCAAAACCAAGATCATGTCCAAAAGAAACAAGTACCAAAACCAGAAGAAAAAACCAATGAAACACCAATCTCTATCCCCAACCAACACCTGACACGCCACCAAGGTCCAAATACCAATATCTCTGCGGTTTTGCGGTGCCCCGAAACGAGTGACTCCCAATCCCCAAGACGTGAGCATAGAAAAAGGAAAGAATGTCCGCCAAATGAATGAAAGGAAAGATAGGTGGAAATGAGTAGAGATAGGAAAGAGGAAGAGAGAAAATGGAATGAAGGAAACTTGCGGGTGGAGGGAAGGGAGTAGAGGACAGAGGGAAAAGGAAAAAGGAAAAAGGAAAAAGGAAAAATGGGGAACAGTTTCCAAAAGCACTAAACACCAAACACCAACACCAGTGTCCAAAACAACCCAAACAGAAAAGAGAGACAACCAGAGCCTAACCACAAGGGCACCGCAAAACCGCCTCACCAGTCGCAAACTCGAACAAACGTGGGGACTACATGGGTTTAACGAAAAAAATAGATGACAGAGGAAACGAATGAACATACCAAAAGAACGTGATGTCTAACCGGAGAACCAGTACGCAAGGCCGGCTCCGACAGTGGCAGCAGCAACTGCAACACAAGCGAGGGACTTCCAGCCGAATCCGGATTCTCGAGATGGCACTTCTGGTGACTGGCGTGGCTCCACAGCACGGGCTGATGGAAGCTGACGCATGGTGTGGAAGTGTCGCGAAGAACGGGAAGGCCGGAATGGAGGGAACTGCTGAACCGGTGCAGTATGGTGGTGGTGTACTCGCACTGGCTTGGAAACAACAGGAATGGATGGAGCCTCGACCGAAGGTGATGGAGGCGGCAGGAAAGATTGGAAGTGCTGCTGAGCAGCGGAATGAGCGTCGGTTTCTAGAGGAAGGGATGCATCTGAGCCGGATGTAGAAAGAGTGGTAGTAGTTTCTGGACCTCGTCGTCGGCATTCTTCAATCTCTGTATAAATTTGGAATGTATCATCCGACCATTTTTCGACGTCGAGCTTGAACCATGGGGAAGAAAATTCGGATGACAGTGAAAGATCGGACGCATCTGAACCGCATTCAAAAGGAGGGGGCACGCCGGCGGCATCGCGGGCGTCTCTTATGGCTCTCTCTCGTCGGTCCTCGTCCATCAAGTTGAACAAATCAAATGTTCCGTCGGACCATTTTTTCTCGTCAACATCAACGTAAGTAGAGAACTCGGGCGATTGCGAACGACCGGACATATCTGAACCAAATGCAGAATGAGTGGACACCTCAGCGACGGCGACGGCCTGTTCTTGAGCTGTCTTTCTCTTTCTCTCCTCCGCCCCGTTCATGACATTGAACACCTGGTCAGGCCATTTCTTGTCAGATATCTCGACCCAAGTAGAGAACTCGGGTGACGCCGGGCGAGTGGACGCATCTGGAATGGATACGGAATGAGTGGACACTCCAGCGGCGGCGAGGGCCTGTTCTTGAGCTGTCTTTCTCTTTCTCTCCTCAGCCCCGTTCATGACACTGAACACCTGATCTGACCATTTCTTGTCAGATATCTCGATCCAAGTAGAAAAATCAGGCGACGCCGAACGAGCGGATGCAGCTGGGATAGATGCGGGGTGAGTGGACGAGCTGCTGGTGCTGATGCTAGACTCTTCGTCTCTTGCCTCTGAATGGATGGACGCGTCTGGTTGGGACGCAGAAGGAGCGGATAAACTCTTGGAAGAGGATAAACTCTTGGAAGAGGATAAACTCTTGGAAGAGGATAAACTCTTGGAAGAGGATAAACTCTTGGAAGAGGATA